AGCCCCAGTTACCTGCTTTATTGAAACCTAACTCACTCCTTGGTTTCTCCAACTCCCTCCTCCTGGCCATTGCCAGCATTTACAGCTCTTCTGCCCTGTGATTTTTCTCTCAAACGGTAGACTAAGTGGACAGGATGAAAGAGACAGAGAAAGGACACCAGGAGAGAAGGGATGGGTCTTTTCTAACTAAACCTTGAAAGTTACATACTATCAGGTGTCCTGAATCCTACTGCTCACATGGATCAGCCCACATGCAAGAGCATGTGTGAATCACTCAAGGGTCCTCCTTCCAGATCATCTTGGGACCTGCCTGCCACTGTGTGAATTGTAGTGTTTGGGAAAGACTGGGCCCAACACATCATAGGAAGAGAGGTAAGGTGTAAGTTCATGATTTTTGTCACCCTCCTCCACTATCCCATGGAAGGTGAGATTAGAAGATGTGTGTGTGTCTGTGTGAGAGAGAGACAGAGACAGAGACAGAGAGACAGAACAACTTGTAGGAATCAGTTCTCTCCTCCCACCATATTCCAAGGTTGGAATCCAAGCCATCAAGATTGGCAGCTTTGCCCAGTGAACCCTCTATGGAGGCTATAGGTGGATACATTGGTAGTCTAGCAGATACTCATATGAACTGATCATGGGCATAGTTATGTAACTACCTGAGTATGTTATTAGAGAAGTTCATATGAGAGATACTAACTTAGGACTTACCCCCTTGTGAGGAGCATTTTAAAATGTTTATTTCATTTATTTATTTATTTATTTATTTATTTATTTATTTATTTATTTATTTATTGTTATTATTCTCTCATATTTTACATCCTGACCCCAGTTTCCCCTCCTTTTACTTCCCCACATCTCCCCGCTCTCTCAGATCCATGCCCCCTCAGTCTTTCCTCAGAAAAGAGCAGACGTCCCAGGGACATCAACCAAACATGGTATAAAATGCTACAATAAGATCAGGTATATACCAGCACATCAAGGCTGGACAAGGCAACCCAGTAAGAGGTGTGTGTGTGTGTGTGTGTGTGTGTGTGTGTGTGTGTGTGTGTACACACGTGTATACATATGTGCCTGCCCATGGAGGCCAGAAGCAGGAATTGGATCCCTTGTAATAAGAGTTACAGGAAATTGTGAGCCATCTAACATGGGTGCAGGGAACGGAACCTGGGTCCTCTGCAAGGGCAGGATGTGCTCCTCACTGCTGAGCTGTCTGTCTCTCCAGCCCTATGGACAGCACTGAAAACTGGAGATTGAACTAAATCCCCCAGGGCGTCATTACAAACAGACAGGAGAAAGGCACAGGTTTGAACTCCCAATCCCACTGTCTTGATTTGAAGATTAAGAATCCAGTGAGGGAAAGGAACTAAGAACAAGATCAAATGACAGCAAATACCACCTCCTTGCTAAGTACTGCTGAGAGTGATATGCTCAGATTGTCTGCCAGGGATCTCTGCATGAGAAAGTCCTGTAGGGTCCTTAGGGAGAAGACCAAGAGGAGGCAGAAAAATCAGTCCAAACGCCGTCTGCTTAACAATACAGCAAACAATAATTAAGAGCTGATTATATATAATGCTGAGCAAGTCATGGAAGACTCGAGACAGCCGAATAAAATAACCAGGATTATTCCCAGCCCAGCACAAGGAAACCAAGTCACAAAGGGGCTGAGCTGTCACTGTGGTCACAACAGCTAGCTAGTGGCAGCACTGAGGCTCCAGCTGGCCGAATGACCCCAGAGCTCTGCTATGCGTAGGCATGAGCATCCCTTCTCTCTTCTGCTGATGGAGAAGTCTTTCTGCAGGGTTCTCCAAGAAGGGAGGGTGGAGATGAGCAACCGACTACTGAGCTGCCTGCAAGGTGTATGGGGACGCAGCCTTTGTGAGTCATCAGCCACTCAAGGCTGGGCTTCTCAGTGACACAGCTGCCTTTGAATCACCCATGTGCCTGTGACTAACACCCACTAACTTGGGTAGAATACATCTTTGGTCTCTTATTGTTATCCTGTCTGGGGCAAACAGACACTTGTTCACACCTCCCCAGGAAACGACACAACACTAAGATGCATGAGACCCTATCTCAAAATTTTTTTATTCTAAAGAGATTTTAAAGGATTTATTTTAGCTGGATGGTGATGGCACATGCCTTTGATCCCAGTGCTTGGGAGACAGAAGCAGGTGGATCTCTGTGAGTTAAAGGCCAACCTGGTCTACAGAGTAAATTCCTGCACAGCCAAGGCTACACAGAGAAACCCTGTCTTAAGACAAACAAACAAACGAAGATTTATTTTATTTTTAATTATGTGTGTGTGGGTGTGTGCAGTTGCTCACAGAGGCCAGAAGAGGTCATGGATTGCATGAAGCTGGAGTTACAGGCAGTTGTTAGCCCCTCCTCCCATGGGTGCTGGCAGCTGAACTGGGGTCCTCTGCAAGAGCAGTACACACTCTTAACCACTAAGCCATCTCTTCAATCCTCAAAAAAATAGAACTCAAATCCAACATTCTATTATTTCTTTTGTTGTTGTTGGTTTCTTTTTCTTTTTTTTTAAGATTTATTTATTTATTTATTACGTATACAGTGCTGTGTCTGCATGGCCAGAAGAGGGCATCAGATCTCATTACAGATGGTTGTGAGCCACCATGTGGTTGCTGGGAATTGAACTCAGAACTTCTGGAAGAACAGCCAGTGTTCTTAACCTCTGAGCCATCTCTCCAGTCCCCCCACCCCTGTTCTATTATTTCTAAGAACATAATTACACAAGTATGAACTGTAGCAGGGATCTTAAATGTTCTTATTAATAAAATCAAACCCGAGGCGAGTTATTGGGGTCCATGCTGGTAGATCAGAGAGACAGAATAAGCCACAGCTATCTCACCTTGCCAATTTCTCAGCTGGTCCTGTTTCCTCAGACTGGAAGCTTCTGTGTCCTCATCCCAATGGCTCTTAGCTGAACTGCTGCTTAAAAGCCTGAATGCTTAACCAGCC